CCGTTTTCTAGCAGCGCATCTTACATTCAATCTGTTTCTGTACATAGCGCTTTTTTCTTTTCGTACTTTTTATTTCGCACCAGAATTTTCCACCCAAAAAAACAAACATGACAAATGATATTAGCGACATAGGAGGCATGGAAGAAAAAAATCAAGTTCTTCCAGCAAGACGCCGAAAATGACAAAGACAATGGAGCCTGATCGAAGGTTGGAGCCAGGACACAATTCATTTCCCAAGGCGAGGCAACCGAGTAAGTTTCGTTCCTATAAAACATTCAGCAAAAAATTACATATTTCGCCTCCTCATATTAACGTTAAATTTCATGTATTTTTTGAAAATTAATTTGATATTAATATTATGACTGTGAATTAATGAGTCACTTGCCCGGTGGCTTGTTAACTAGTATGATAACTAAAAAAAATTGATAGGTTAGTATCGATGACAGACTGACCATTGTGCGTTTTTGCTCAAAAAAGGTCTCGTTTTTGTTCTCTATCGGTGTATGATGCCTAAACGGATAATATCCTCATTTCAAACACAACTATAAGTTAAACCAATAAAATAATTAACCAGGCATTAAAGACAGTGATATCACTTTGCAATTTTGCAATGACCGAGAAAATTCCGTTTATTTTTTATACTTTTTAAAGCATATTTGACGACAGAGTGCAGATCAGTCTCTGATTATCAAAATATTTTTTTTATCATGCATTTCACACGCCTAGCAATACTGAAAAAGTGTCGATTGTTTCTTTGCGCTAGGATCGAAGATAGCAAAAATAAAACAGTATCGAAAAGAGAAGTAAAGGCTAATAAAACGTTTATTGTAAAGTATGTAAATATTTTTAAACTTTTGTAAGGGCTTACTATTAGTTTACAAAATAATTTTCCATTTTTATTGATTTTTATAAGTTTCTTTGAACCGGAAGGTCCTTCTGTAATAAAATATATATACGCCGATAAGAAAATAGAGAGATTCACTGTTGTTAATATCAAAACATGAGAAAAATAGTGATAAATGTAATTTGCAGTGTACATAAACAACTTGAAAATTCTCTTTTTGGTTTACGCGGTAAAGTAAATTAGATTTCGAATTTGAATTTGGAGGGAAGGAGATGAAAAGATCACATTATAGAAAACCGAATATCGAATGAAACAATAAGCTGAATTGACAAAGCAAACTCGGAGTTGTATTTGTCGGTACCTGTTGGTTTTCTTTTGATCCCTCACGGAAGCTATTGATCAAGCGCAAGGGCGCGTTCCGACCGTCACTTCTCTCCCTCCGAAAAATAAAGGAAATCGTTTTGCCGCTCAGGTTCGCAGAAGTTATTTTTCGTAGGGCCGGGGAGAGAGGCTATTGTAAACAAACAGCGAGTTGTCGGAGTCAGCTGTCGCTTTAACATATTTAACTCGAACTGACCGCAAAAAAATCAAATCATTTAAGGAAATCTGTAAAATTGAGAGTAATATATCTTGTAATCGAGGCTATATCGTACTCTGATACCACAAATCCTGAATTTGGTGCCTGTAACGAAATTTTGCGGAACGTGTTATAATGGCCTTTTTTTTCTAAAGCAATCCAGCAAATATTTTTACACCCCTTATTGTAGATAACTTCACTGTTAATTTTGTCATCATCATGTCGTCAGATTACGGGTGAAAGTACTGTAGGGCGGGTTTTTTATTATCCAAGAGGACTTGAAAGTCTAGTTATCCATTAACAGACGTTAGACCAAGGGCTGCTCTTGGTCCTCAGTTACCGTAAATTCCGAAAAAAGCCTCTCCATGTATAAGCCCCTCGAAATATAAGCCCCCATCCCCCCTTTCGGGGGCTTGTACTTGGAAATTGCCCTCAAATACAGAGTAAAACAAAGCAAAACCGGTAAATTTCCTTCCAACTATAAGGCTAGCCAAATCGATTTTGAAACGCAAATTTCCCTCCGTAGATAAGACCCTCCAAATATAAGCCCCTCCAAAAAGGGCCTTTGAAATATAAGCCCAGAGGCTTATTTTCGAAATTTTACGGTATTTAAGGCCTTGGTTTGGTCGAGAATCGAACTTCCACAGACTGATACTCGTGAACCACTTGAGTAAACCTGCGGTATTCGGGTAACCGTTTAGGGGTAATCTTAGGCTGCTGAACCTCGTCGTGTTAGCGAACTTTTATAACGAAAATTATTGCGAACCGAGGGGAAAATGGTTCGGGAGGGCCCTCCAAAGCTGCCCGATTTGCCCATAAAACTGCTGACCGCTTTGATCGAGGTATCATTTGAAGTCTCTGTCTCGCTGGCCACGAAATAAGGATCAACTACTTTAAAAACTCTTTTTATAATTCTTCAATACTGTTAGATTGCGATCAGCTTTTTATCTTGCGACGATATTGCTTCTTTATTCATATAAAAAATCCTCTGTCGAAAACGCGGAATTGTGCTCTCCTTAATGAAGCTAAACCGACATATAGGCAATTCAAGAAGAAGAAAGAAAGAAACGTTTTGGACAACTACAAAGCAATATGTACCGCATATTTTATTGAGAAAATTTGTATTGCTTATATCACATCAGTTGAATATTACTGAGTGTTGAGGAAGTATATTTATACACATTTCCAACATTCTGGCTGAAATTGTTTTGAGCAATATTGACTCAATATCACATTATGCGGAAATACTAGCTTTGCTGTGTGGGTCACTTACGTCTTGGTGCCACTTACGACTTGGTGTTAAAATAGTAGGTGTGAGTTAGTTAAATGGGGAAAATAACCAATTTTTATCTTCTTCCGAGAAGACGGTAAGTTGATAGATCATCTTTGAAGTTAAGTTATAGTGCATGTTGATGCATGTTGGTAGACGGCTGTGTTTTGCAATAATGAAGCACGGAGCTGTTCAGTTGATTACTGAAGTGAAGTGCTTTGCTCCATTACCACGACGATGAAACATGTCTGCTATAATTGATTTAGGAGAAAACAGTACTTAAGTCGATCAAAGCGCTTCATATACCGACCGCTTTTTATTCTGGGAGTTTCTCGTAAAGACCTGGCTTAGGTTTGCAAATGCTGATCTGTCAGTTAACTGCTGATCACAAATCATATATACGATAGAAGATACGATAGAAAACGATAGAATATTGAATTCTCTTATCCTTTTGCCTAAACTAAACAATGTCATTCAGCACCAACTCATTCCATCTATCTGCACGTTCGAATTGACTTAAAATTAGTAAAATTATCATTGGAAAAGTCAAAACTGTTTGGTTTAGCGAGTAATTCTGCCAAGGTTGTAATAAAAAAGACCAATAAAAAAGACAAAAATACAAAACCAACAAGAATACGGAGGCAGGAGCCCATAACTTACTCGTGTCACGGCGTTTTCACCGACCACTGAGTTTATTTTTAGAAAGATTTTTAGAAGTCTCACAAACCAGTCAGCAAAACCTGCAGGCCTAAAAAACATTTGTTTGCCTTTTGATGAAGTTTAGTTTTCCTTTTTGATATCCTATACTTTAAATGCACTCACAGTTGGAGCGGAGCGTCCATTTCCGCGGTAAAAAGTGCTCTAAAATGTATCAAAAAATAAACCGTTCAGTGAAAACGCCGTGATATAGGCCTAGTATG